AAAAAATTATATAAAAAATTATTTCTTAATTATTTTTAAATGTAAAACTCTTTTTTTTTTGGGCTTTCTAAGTATTAGAGCCTGACGTTCAGCGAGCCCAAGTTGTGTCGGCCTGTCGGGCGGTGATTCATCACAAGAATCATTAGCAGCCCAAAAATATTAGGCCCAAAATTGATGCAGAAACCTTGCCAATAAATATCATAGAAACGAGGAGGAAAGATTGGTGTGGTGCGGAGACGCCAGAGCCCAAAAGGCAGATCCACAAAAATCAAGCGGGAAATCTAAATCAAATGGGCGGGAAAGTGGAACCCCTATATATTTGTTCATTAGTCTTCTACCGCGCGGATTCCCTGCGCTAGGCGTTCCAATTTCAAATTTCAGATTCTGCGCCGTTTCTCTCTCTAGGGTTCCGACCATGTTCTCCAGCAGCCAGTTCGACGCTCCCTCCGCCTTTTCCGGCGGCGGATTCATGCCTTCCCAGGCTCACCCTTCACAGCCCGCCAGTTCCACACCGTCGAAGGTGAGTCATCTCTACAGCTCTGTTACGTTTTCCTCATATTGTTCCTGTTTGGCCTCCGATAGTGTATGCAGGAATTAGATGCGGAATTGAAATTTTAGATTTCGGTCTTCAAATGATACAAGTTTAGTTGCTGTTTTAATTTTTATTCTATTTTTAGGGTTAGTGTTTCGGAGATTTTAGTTTTGTTTTATAGTTTATCTAATTTCCGGTTTTGGTTTTGCTCTTAGAGCCGCGATTCGCAAGGACTGATTCCAGTAACGGTGAAGCAGATAAGTGAATCTTATCAGTCCGGTGACGAGAAATCTAATTTTGTAATCAATGGTGTCGATGTTACAAATGTACGATTTAATTTTTCTTATGTTAAAATGATAAAGGAAAGTTTGTTTATGGGGATCATTATGGTTTGCTGGGAATAAAATTTTCTTGCTTAGCACCTTGCCTTCTGAATATTTTCATAGCTCGGATTTAAGTTAATCTTTTATTTCTGGAGATCAAAACAACTTAATTTGATTGTGTATTTAATAATGTCGGCTGGTTCAGGTTACTGTGGTTGGCATGCTATTTGATAGAAGAGCAAGGTCTTTCAATGATATTCGTTTCCACCTGGATGATGGCACTGGGCGACTTGAGTGTGTAAGATGGTAATGCATGGATTTCCACTTCAATATAACTGATATACGATGATTATGCTTTGTTATTTGCAATGTAGCTTTTGGCTTGTTAGAGTAAATTTTCAATTCTGAAATCAGAGAACAAATTTGGTTCTGTTGCTATTCTCCTAAATCACTGTTTAATTCTTGATCCAGGGTAACAGAAAATTTTGAAACACGACAAATGGATGAAATTGAGTGAGTTTTCCGTTTTAGCTAAGAATTGATTGGTTAATTGTACAATTAGCTTTTATATCAGGGGGCACTGATCTGTTTTAACATTCCTATGCATTAGAGAGGGGAAATATGTTCGTGTCAATGGGCATTTGCAAAGTTTTCAAGGCAAAAGGCAATTAGCTGCTTTTTCTGTGAGGTATGGTCAGAAGAAAATTTCCTTTATGCACAACTGTTTTTCCCATATTTTACTGATTGACTGCTGATTTTCAGTTTCATGCTTGTTGTCACCATACTGAATTATCTATCTAGCAACTATGAAACTATCTTAATGAAACTGTGTATTGGAGTATCCTTTTGCCAATACAGATGAAGAATATGAATTTTGGTCACTTTAAGGGACACCCAAAAGTTATTTTTCATTTGTATATTTCATTTTTTTTCTTTTATCTCTCTTGCTATGATCAATGGATTAGCTTGTTACCCCTTGCAAAAATTTTAAATTAAAATATGTGCCTTATGCTATGTTTACTTTGTTTCTCAGGCCTGTCACAAATTTTGATGAAGTCACTTTCCACTATATTGAGTGCATTCATTTTCATTTGCACAATGCCAAATTGCGGGTATGTTTGTTTGGAACAGAACTGATCTAAGCTGTCTTAGTTCACTTATTCATTGTAGATTCATTCTCATGAATTTCACCTTTAATTTGTTTTGTACTTGTACCTCATTGAAGAGCCAAGGTGGTACCCTGACTCAGGCCCAGGTAACGGAATCATCAACAAATACTCCACTGCACAGTACATCAAATGGATGCCAGACACCCTCGTTTAATAATGTATGGCATCAAATTACTTGTGGCTTAATTTTGAATATACTTGCTGTGTATTTCTCCTATAATTTTGTTCTCTTTTTGCAGTTCACCATGGATGTCAGCACTGATGGACTCAAGGGCTTTGATAATTTGGTCCTAAACTATCTGCAGCAACCTTCAAACATGTGAGTTACATTAACATATCTTCTGTTTCTGATTTGTTGGTTCTTCTATCTTAAATGTAAGATGTAGAAGAGCCAAAATGAGCCACATCACTCGTTTGAATGCACCTAAGCCAAGAATTTATCTCACTGTGAGTTTGGTCAGAATGGGGATTGGATTCTCGACTGGGGATTGAGTTTTATGGATTATTCACTGAAATTACAGATACCGTCTAGTGTTTTGTAGTCCAGACTGCAAAGCACCAGCCATTGGATGGAGGGGCCCACCCCCATTATCAAGGGCTCCCTCACCATCCAATGGTTAATATTCTGTTTGTTACAGAAAAGAACTAAACTGTCCAGAAGAAGTAATTCTGCCAAAATCTCAGTTTTATGCATGCAGCATTAATGCTGGCCCCATTTCCCCTTACCTGTAATGCATTTTTTGTTAAGAGCAAGTTTGGGACATGTCGGGTTGGGAGTGAGACTTTAAGGGGTGCTTCTGTAGACTGGTTTTATTGTGGAATTTATTTGCTTTTCTAGAGTCAATTCAAAATTGGAAAATATGCCTGTGGCTGTGTATGCATAGAGGTATGTGTTTAATGTTACATATGCATCCACATTCCTGTTCACATGCATGGTATGCGTATTTAAATGAAGTTTAATTGTGGATAGTATTTTCATGGTACCAAGGTAATGTTCTGCCTTCTATGTTCATAAATGTCAGATATGGCAATTCAAATCAGCCATTTATTACATGCATCAGTGACCTAGGAAGTTGTTTTAGAAGTTTTTTCTCTTTTGGGTAAAATGTGATTTTTTTTATCAAAACCAAATGTACAAAGCAGCACTCAATGGTAGGTTTCTACTGTTCTGAAAGTTCGTACCAATAAAATGGACCACAGCTCCAATCCTCCATTGGAGTGCAATGTGTCTGCAAAGATTGCATTTTTTTTTTTAAGAAATATAAAGGGATTACTAAAGAAAGGAGACGCTAAGAAGGCCATTATTCAACCACTCATCTTGCATGCCTTGTACTCATTTTTAGGGTTTGACATTTTAATGTGAAATTCATCCAACTTGTTATCTCCCCAGGTTGTGTCACTGCCCGTTCTCACTTTACATTGAACTGCTTTTTTCCAGTGAACGGGAAATGGGGGTGCACCTAGAAGAAATTGCCCGACAGTTGAAAGCTCCCATTGAGAAGATCAAGTACTCTCTCAGTCTCTCTCACATGCAGTGAGTTATATATGTTTTTATTTATTTCATTTCATTCTGTTCCTTGCCAGGGATGCAATTGAGATTCTTGAGAAGGAAGGTTTAGTGTACTCCTCCATTGACGATTATCACTACAAAGCCGTGGAAGGTTGTTAGCTTTTTGCTACTTGACTCTGATTTTGGGATCTACAGGCCAATTATGTTTTCGTTGGGTTTTGGTTTGTTGTTTTGCAATGTAAGTCTATATTGAAAGGATGCTTAGCATCAGCAATGCAATCCTTCTCCTTATGTAAGTGAATGACTTTGAAATGAATGATGCAAGTAACTATATGGTCTGGACTTGAAACTACGGATACCTAACAGGTTAAATGCTGTTTTGATAGGGAAATCAAGATAGTGAGTTTTATAAAATATTTCTAAAAGAATGTCTTGCACAATTTAAAATATTTTTTTGTATTGTATAATTTTAACTATTTGATAAGTGTATGCTGTTTAATATTGAACATTTTGACATTTAAAATGTTTAAATATTTAATAATAATTATATAATAAATTTAATAAAATTATATTTTATATATTTAATAATTATAATTAAACATTTTGAGGTTTTAAATATTAATGTGTTAATTTTTTGTTTTTATTTAATAATTACAAGTTAGTGCAATTTAAATTAGGAAATACATATTAATTTTAATTTTAAATTATTTTATTTTATTTAATTAAAATTTAATTTAAAATTAAAATTTTTATTTTATTAAATATTGACATTTAAATTTAAAAATTAATTAAAATTTTTAATTTAAATTTAAATTTAAAATTTTAAATATAAATTAAAATCTTAATTTTTAAAAAAATTAATATTCTTTATTTTAATAGTGAAGAATTATGAAAGAATAGAATTTTTTTTCAAATGGTTAATGAGAGTTAAAATTTTGATCAATTAAACTTAAATTATAAATTTTAAAAAGGAATAGTTGGTCCAATTATTTAAAAATCAATATTTTTTTTAAAGAAAATTTTTTAAGTTACTGGTAAAATTTAAAATTTCGATCCATTAATTTAAATACTTTAAAATTTTGAAATGAACTACTTAAATCTAAAAATTTAATTTATTTAAAAATCAATACTTAAACGTACTAATTTTTTTTATTTTAATATATAACAAAAGATAATTATTTTTTATTTTATTTTATTTTATTTATATATTATATTATTTAAATTAAATTTTTTTTTAAATCACAAAAATATTTGGATAATTGATTAACATCTTTAAATTATATATAAAGTAAACTACTCTTTCCAAGATTTGTCAGCGTCAAGATTTGGTGGATGATTTTTCTTTCAAGTCTTGGAAAAAATGGACACTGATTAGTACGGGATGCAACGCATCTTTTTGTTTCCTTTCACTTTTCCATTTCATGGAAAGCGCAAAGAGACTTGCGTCACATACCCGAGTTCCTACCTGCCAAAAGAAGAAAGGAATCTCTAAATTGCCAGTTTCCCTTGATGACAGCTTACCCTATACTATTAAAAATATTTCAATTTCTAGGAAAAAAAAAAAGGGTATCATTTGGAACTGAAATGACATCTCCATTTCTTCCTCGGTAACACTCCAGTGGGGAACAATAC